GTGTGTGTGTGTGTGTCGATCGGATATTCTTGCGTTATTATTAATTTAATCACCAGTATGCCGAAAACATCAAGAATGACGTGCGAAGTTTACAAGTTTTATAGATACCATTGACATAATCTCCCCACGGCAGGAAATTGCTTCAGAAAATTGTTCGATCGTGGTCGCGGGGGCGCGTTTGACAAGGGTTGGCCGAGTATTTTCGCCGTGTAACGGCGAGGCAAATGGAACTTCCTGCGTAGGACGGAAGACCGATCCTTCGCGGTAAAAATATCCCGTAACTCACTTCAGTAAGCTGTTTAGGAAGTAGGAAATTAGCTCCCTGTGATAAAATGACGGGCGAATGATCGATCGGTGTTTATGATACTTATGGAACAGAGTATGTTGTATATCAGTATTCGTTTCAACGTGTGTTTTCAACATTGACTTAAGAAGACACAGGCGTGCTAGGCAATCTTTTATAATTAACTGTCTCTCTCTTTGCCTAACGCGATTTTCTCGTGAAATAATGGAGACATTATGCCAACATTACTCTTAAATTGCGTCAATACGTGAATAGATCATAATAACTCTAAAAAAATGAGCATACTTAAAAGCTCAATAAAAATAAGAATCTTTCGATTATAAAATTTAATTTAAATTCATTTTAATTTAAATTAAAATGAATGAAAGCTGTCTCATGTACCTTTCTGAGTGACGCTAACGATGGGTGATTAGGGAGGGAAAAATCGCTACGAAACAATTAGAAAAGAATAAAGAATTGACAGCGCGTATGCCTGATTGACGTAGTTTATAGGTTTAGAATTAAATCAATTCAACTGTTCTTTGGTTAAATTAAATTTGTTACAGTTAAGAAAATACGTGAATACAAAATTTACGGAGTGCGTTAACATGAAAATTACATAAAAGCGAAGTTATATCGTTTGATCTTCCGCGTGACAAGAGATGAATAATCGGCGTGGGGCTGCCTCGTATTATCGACGTATCCGACAAACTTTCTTTCTCATTGTCATTCAGTCTCTCTCTCTCTCTCTCTTTCTCTGTTCTCCGTGCGACTATATCGAATATTGAAAACGTCACTTCTTTTGTTACGCTTGATGTACTTCATCTGCATTGGAGCAGAAACAATTTGCTTTTATCAAACCGATTCGATAAATCGATGACTGAAGGGATAGGTTTTAACAAGTTACTAAATAAGTACTACAAAAGTATAATAAATTGTCCTAATTAATATAATTTGTTATTACAATTGATAATATATATGATTCACCTCCGTAACCTCCCTCCACGAGAATCGATACGTTTTGCAAATATCGTTCGCGAAAAACATCGCGTACAAAAATAAACTCTCACGTGTTAAATATCAGTATGTAAATTCGCAAGATTCCCGCAAGCCCCATTCGATCAAAGCCCGAATTCGACCGACACGTTCCGCAGCCAATTATTCCGACCAATATCCAGAATCTCCGCGTTCGCGAAATGCAAACGAAAATGGAATGGAAACGAGCTGTTTTATTTCGGCCGGCCGGCGGTCGAATTAAGCGGATATCCTCGGGCTCACCTGCTCACTTATTTCGATCTCCTGCGGCGCTCGTCCACGAGAGTTGCCCGGTGAATGATCTCTCTCTCGGGCCGGTCCAGCCAGGCCCGTTATTATTGCAGTTAGGCGAGCGCGAAGCATTGTCAAATTCATTAACATCCAGCCGCGTTTGGACTTCCCGTTCCTCCGGCTTTATTTAGCGAACGATTAACGGCTCAAGAGCCGAACAGCCGGACACGTTGCTGGGCGCGAGCGTAAAATATTGCCGCCACACTATTAGCGATTAACGTTTCCGGCTTTATATTCCGCATGCGCGCGCGTGTGTGTGTGTGTGTGTGTGTGTGTGTGTGATATGTGTGTGTATGTGTGATGTGTGTGTGTGTGCATGCGTCGAGTACTTCTCCCCTGTGTACGTACACATGCACTTCCGTACTTTGTAATTGCATCGATAATCTGAAAGCATTTATCATCACCGCGGCTGGATTTTTTCCGATTATTATTCTATCGCTTGTATTGATTTCCTCAAGCATCAATTTTATATGGCGGATCATAAATGTGCTTCAAAAATTTAGAATAGTGGAAAAGAAAAATTTTTATGATCGAATGAAACTATGGAAACAGGAATTATTTATAAAGCATTTTGGATAAAAATAAAATGAATGATCTCAATTAAAACAAATTCTGCAACATTGTAAAAATAATGTATATTTATATAATAATAGTAAAATATAATAAATATTTATAGCAATATATAAATAATATATAAATTAAAAGTTAAAAGTCTTGTCATTTTAAGTTATTAATGTTAATAATGAGTAAATTAAAATAATATGCAATAAAAGTTTACTAATAGTAGTTTGTCACATAATCTTTATCTACGCTTTTATACTTTAAAATATATTAAATATGTGTATTTTTTTTTAATATTATATTGCTTAAAATAAAAAACTTGAATGAAGTTTATTTTTATCGCGTTTGCATTTAACAAGCTAGCACTACTAAACTTATTTTATATATCATTTTCATTTCTGCCGTAAAAGCATATGAAATTATCAGAGTAACTGAACAACGAGCATTGAAATAGTAACTTATTTATCTATAAGAGGCAGGCAGGGGAAGGGGGGGGGGGAGGAGTGTGTTATAAATTCGGCGCAACTGCCAATTGCAACGCGCATTCGAAATGATAATAAGGCCAACAATAAAAGCAGATCGGGAAGATAATTTCAAATATGAAATCAATTTCGATATTTTATATGTATGAGTGACCTAATAACAAGCACTGTTCGCTTAATTATACTAGTGTAATGCTAAATGTACCTCACGTGTGATATAATTTGAAATTTTCAATTGAAATGCTCGCTTGATCGGAATTGCGGCTTATTGCACTGCAAAAGAGAATGCGTCTGGAAAATTTACACATTTTCGGAATTAGTTTCTAGTAACAATTATTTAATTCGATGATTATTCAATAATACCTACGAGAGATATCAAATAAACGTTACGCAGGAATGTACGCGAATTATTCGCTTTTTATAGTTTCACTTTATTTTATTGTATTTTATATCAATGACTTTTGACGTATACATTTTAGGTATTTATTTGCGCAATTCATATTGGAAATATCACAGATTTTTTGCCTACAACGGAAATTACGCTAATTAAATATGAAATCTTCTAATGGATCACGTTATACAATTTATTATCAATCTGGCTTTTTAATCGATCCGGCTTTTCTCACATCCCTTCTGTATATAAATTATATAACAATAATTTTAATAGTGAGAACGGACAAGGATAAACAATCTCGCAATCACTTTTTATCTGATATGCGATATCATAGCAGTCATGATTATCAGCGTCTTCAAAATTCCTGAAACATACAACGATATGTGTAAAAAGTCTTTTAATTTCATTTTAATATTACTTAATTTAACTATGTAATTGCAGTCAACTTTAAATTCATTATAAAGCATTATAATATATTTTAAAATTTTTCGATAAACTGTGAAAAATGATAATGTTGAAATTCATGGATATCGATTTAATACAAAGGATGTTCGGGATACATTTACCTTAAAATAATTCGTATGGCATCCTCGATAATTGAAAATCCCGGAGGACTTAGCACTGTTTCTGCCTCACAAATTGCGCGAAGAATGCATAATCGTCCTGGCAAGTTTCGACTGAAATAGACGGCCAATGTTAATTAATTAATTAAGTTCAATCTTCACTCAAAACATGAAATTTATATTTATAGGATGCCTGTATATGTTATTTTGCGGAGAATATGTTTGCAAAGCTTAATATATATTCGGCAAAATTTAATTATAGAATTAATATTTTAATATTTATTAAATAATTGCAGCAGGTCTTCTTATTTTATTTCATATCTTGAATATTGCATGTAATATATATGTTTTTATATCCAATTTAATAATGCAATTTAATAACAAAAATATTTAAAATTTCTTATGTTCTAATTTTATGTTTAACCTATTTCATACATCTTTTAAAAATTACAATTTATATAAAATGTAATTTAAATAAAAATAATTTTGTTTTTACCTATTTAATGCTAATTCCAAATTGGCGTAGAGTTCGCGCCTATGTCGCCGTTTTAGTTTGGATGGTTTTTTAATTAACGCTTTCCTTAAATCTTCCTGGCTAGGTATTGGCCAAATCGTATCAAATTCCAAATCTAAATTCCAATTTTTAGGTTCATTAAGCTGGATAGCCTTTAGAAGAGTTAGAGTTAACTAAAAAAGAAATTGCAAATATGAGAGACTTAATTGGTAAAGTTGCAATTTGTTTCAGTCTTGACGAAAATAATTTAATGAGATTAAAATGAAAATAAATGATAAAAAAGAATTATATGAAGAAAAATTTTTTAAAAGATAGAAACTTTCTTTATGCTCATTAATAGTCGGAGAACAACGAGATGTATTTCTCTCTACTTGCTAACAATTTCAACGAGTAAACCATAATCGCCAACAAAAATCAAAAAGCGCATACTTCACAATTTATACGTTGCATCTGAGAAATGTGATTTTAATACGTAGGACGTGTGGGAGATGATTTCTCATAAAAGCATAGTTATAGCGGTAAAATGAGGAATTCTTCCTATGTAACTGATTTAACCGATCTCGACCTCCGTAGAGCGAACGGTGACGCCCTCATAAAAGTTCAACGTAACAAAAGATCATCCCCCTACCGCCCCCGTAACGAACAACCGGCCATCTCACTCACCACGAAAGCGCTTCCCTTTGGAAAAGTGAGCTCCCGTCTATGTCTGGGCAAAGTCTCTCCTGACCTTTGGCCGGCGGCACTTAGGTCGGTGTCATTACGGTGACATACCGCCTCCCCCAGGAGCAACAATGAGTCCAGGATCACGGCGAGAATCAGGACGGGCCACGGGGCTCTCATTTCTCGGAATTATCCGGGCGAAAATCGCGCTCCCTCTCTCACGTCGCGCGGCCTCGGCCAGCCCTCCCGGGAGGTCACGGGACGGAGAGCATTTTCAGAAAACCCGGGAACATCCTTCGCGGTTACGTCGAAATATTGCACTCACATTGCGCGCACATGGGAGGCGGGCTTCGCCATGGGATGGCGACGCCATCGCGTCGCCGCTCGGCCGTTTCGGCGATGCTGTGTTTGCGCCGCGAATTGTCGTGTCCACCTCGACGAGGGACTCGAGACGAGATCTCCATTCGTCGACGAGCGGACGCTTAAGTGGAAGCTTAAGCGCCGTTAATCGCAGCCTCGTCTCGATAATCGAGCGGTCTCGTGGTATCGATACCGATAACTTTTACTCGTATATCCCGCATACGAAAATCAACCAATGGGCTATTTATTTTGCGGACGTAAAATTGTTCCTAACACATAAGTCACGTATACGTCGTAAACGCGAGTTAAATTTTTCGTAATTTTTCAGTCGTACACGCGAGAGCTCATGCAGAGAGCCGCTCTTACGGTTATGATAAGGTATATGTCCCTATCTCATACGTGAACTACATATACGTTTTGCTCTGGCATATTTTATGTCGCGGTAAGATATCTTTCCGGTGGCAACGCGCAGAATAAATTTCAGTCCTCGTCAAGTTTTAATATCCGTGTATATATATATATATATATATATATATGTGTGTGTGTGTGTGTGTGTGTGTGTGTGTGTGTGTGTGTGTGTGTGTGTGTGTGTAGTATGAAACACGTGTAAAATGCATTTCAATATGAAAGAGAATATTTAAATACAAATTATGAGTAAGGCAATTAATGCGAAATGTTGAAAAATCGGCGTGTTTGCATTCAAATCAACATCGAGACTACGTAATATTTGCCATTGCATGTCTCGCTATGATTATATAAATTTCTTCATAAATAAATTTATTTAACAACTGAATCGATACGGATTTCCGGGTATTTTCGCATTCATCGAACTCCGTGAAAAAAGAGAAAGAGAGAGCTCATTAATTCTCCGAGTCTCTCGTAGGCCATTAAAATCTGACAAGCTGTCCCCCATTGCGGAGTCTCCCGACTTTTCCATGCTAATCTTGAAAAATCTCACCGAAAGCTCGGTTGTTCTTTATGAGAGGTTCATCGGCTCTCCGTTTCTTCCCTCCCTCCCTCCCTCCCTCCGTCCCTCTCACCCTTCTTGCCGCAACGAGCTAGCGAGAGAGCCTTTAAATTTCGTAAATCTCACGAAATATATTCAGGAACGGGCTGCTTGTTTCATCCAATCCCGAGGATCCAAGTGCTCTCTGACCATCTTCGCAGCTTCCATCTGCGAGGTAATTTCATTTTGGGCTTTCGAGTCCCCTCAATCCCCTCCGCTTCCATTTATCTTTTTTTTTCTTTCTTTTCTTTTTCTTCTTCTCTCCTCGACCAACGACGCCGTTGCCAGTTCCACCCGGCTACTATGAGCAACTCTTGCAGGAGGAGGTGATTTATCCAGCACTTAAAATCGATCTTCCTCGTTTCGGGATTTTTGGTTAATCGCCTCTGCTAACATAACTGGGGAAAAATTGCCAACGTGGTAACGAATTTATGGACTCCCACGACTTTCGATGGTTTCTCTTCCATTACGATGAATGCCTGGACGCATCCCGGATCGCGATTTCGGCGTCCACCCCCATTGTGAATCGACCATTTCCTCGCGACGTAACGCCACTTCGAAGTCCATTTCGCACAAATGTCCTGGCTCTCGCCATTAAGGAAATCAGGCTCGTTTGTTCAGCTTGCAATAATAGGTCATGTAGACGCATAGTGTAATAATACACGGCGCGTCTCCAACACAGTCGCGCGGCATGCGTTTCCGCGGCACCGAGACACTCGTGATGTCGTCGTCGTCGTTGTCGTCGTTGTCGTCGTGCGCGACGTTACGATTGCATTACGCCGTGTTTGCACATACGGTGACGGTAAGCTATCGTACAATACAATTCTCCTCCTGAGAACGTCAGCTGCAGTAGCCGAGTTTACATCGCGTGTCATTAGCGCGAGTCGTCGTCAATTCACGAATCGCAATCCCCGAAGCTGAAACCTCCCTGCCGGAATGTTACGACTGACATCGCGGTGTATCACTGCGGCATAGTCTATCCGAAACTTCGTGTGCGTCGATAACGGCTTTTCGCAAGATTGCATGAAGATCAACACATGTACTGACGGAGCGTTAGTTTCTCGCTGAGCAAAGCCTTCCTCGAGTTAGCCAAAAAATCTGATGACTAAAGGAACACCCGTTACTTTAAAGAAATATAACGTTCAATGATTTATCGTGACATACTTTGAAATAAACATTCGTTTAAAATTAATTAGAAAATAAGATTTTTTTTATTATATCCGCGAAATCTAATTACTTTCCAGGAAAATAATTTCGTAGTTACGTCGACGTTACTCGAAATATTTGTTAAAAAGTGAGCAGCTTGCAAGATATATAGTAATTTGAACTTTGAAGACTCTCTTTCTCCCTTCCTCTCTTTTCCTCTCTCTCTCTC